AATCTATCTAAAATTTTACCCGTCACAACGACTAAGCGAATCTCCTAAGAAAGGAGAAATAGAAAGTTTTTTTTTTAATTTTTTAAATTATTTCAAATAAAAAAATAACGAACAAACATTTATTCTTTCTGGAGCGTGAGATTCGATCCCGAAGCTTTTTTTATGAAAAATTCAACTCCTTTAACATTTCCTTCTTGAGAAACATTTTTAACAAACTATCTCTTGATTCATTATCATATGGAAGCGTCACCAGGTAAAATCATATTACGTATCATATGATTTACTATATCTAATGATTAATTTTACTAGAAACATTCCCATATAATAAAAAACAATATGGTGCAGTACTATCACTTTACTCTGGAATAGTTTACTAAAATACTGTATATCCTCATGATGAATAGTGTATTCAATTATAAACGATAGTTCTTATATTGGAACACAACTACCGTTAAAACGCGATCAGTGTGGATTCTTGAAATCATCATTTCTAAATTATTTATTTTCTTTTTTTTTGTTTACAATAATTCCTAACTATTATTTTTTTTTGCATTTTTTTTCCACCAGGATTTCAAACACATACAGATGCGAATTATATTATCGTTTTTGTGTTATATGAATTTAATGTAATGCCTTTCAGATTATGTAATGTTTCAGAAAACTTCTAAAGATTTATTGAATTATGTCTTATAACTTACCTATCTAAATTCGTTACAGTATATTTGGATTTATTTTTTTTATATTCAAAATCTTTCGAACAATATGTTGACCACATCAAGCAAGTTTTCCAAGAGTTAAGAGAAGCCAATTTGAAAGTTAAGAAATGCAGTTTTTGCATTCCCAATATAACATTCCTTGGACATATTGTTAGAAGAGAAGGTATTCGACCAGATCCAGCCAAGATTGAGAAGTAAAGACTTACCAATACCAAAAGAGTATCTCAAGTTCGATCAGCTCTAGGATTATTCTCTTATTACAGAAAATTTATTAAAGACTTCTCTCGAATTGCAAAACCAATCAACACTCTGTTGAAAAAAGATCAAAAGTTTGAATGGATTGAAATGCAACAGAATGCATTTAATTGTCTAAAGAATAGTTTTATTAATGCACCAATTCTGACAATATCAAAATTTTGATAAGACCTATTATTTATATACTAATGCATCATATATGTATACTGATTAATTTTATTAATTGTCATTATACACGCAAGCTCTTTAAAGTACTCAAGGTAAATGTAATATGATTATGACCCAAATAATAATTTGAACGATTATATCTTTTATGTAAATTCAATTGCTTTTTATTATTTAAAATTTTAAAGAATTCTTAATTGATCAATTCTGTTCTATTTCTGAAGTTTACATCACAAAATTAAATTCTATTTCGATTCATCTTGTTATGTGATAAAGCACAAAAAAAAAGAAATGATTGATAAAAAAGATGTGTAATTGAATAAAAACATTATATCAAAGCTCATTGAGCTCTTTTTATTTAGACATGAGATCAAATTCTTCTTTAAATAATATAAATAAATCAACTTTACGCCTTGACTGGGTTTGGCTGTAAATAGGATTTTATGAGGTGATGTTTCGTCAAGATTTAGAGAATATGAATAATATTATAAATTGAATATTATATATTTCTAATAAGGCTCATTGACCATCAGCTTTGTCTTATGATTGATAAAGACCTGGAAAGTTTTTATTGTACTTGGGCAGTAGACAACTGATAAGGATTCTGACAATGCAAATATTTGGTCTAATCGAGAGAAACCGAAATAGAAATAAGTTTTCCTGCATTTCTTGATTTTTTTTAAATAAAATTAGTAATAATTTGAGTAATTAATTTTGTTTTAAAAAGAAATTGTAATTCTTTTTATGATTTAATAACAAAATGTTCATTCAATCTTATTTATTATTTAATTAGCTTCTTGATTGACTTTTTACCTATACAGAAGAAATTTATGAAAATCGAGAAAAAATGAGCGTTAAATCATTAGATTTTGATTAAAAGTATGGATGATGACCTTCTAAATCCATTACGTGATGCAATAAGAGTTGCAAAAAATGCGATTTGAAGTGAATATTTGTAAATTGGTTTTTTACGTCAATAACCAATTAGAAGAGATCATTGATTCCTCTTCGCAGGCAATTATAAGCGATAATGGTTAAACATATTATTTAAATCTTGAAATCCTCAAGAATTTACAACTTGATTTCTTACCTTACCTGTTATTATTTCAATTTAAATTTAGAGTATTTCGTTCAAAATATCATGATATAGTAAGTCAAATTGGAAATTAATTCCAGATCTTAGATTAGACTGAAAAGGAAATACTTTTAACGAGAATTATTTGTTGAAATATTTAAAATGACTAAATATTCTGGAAGTGTAATGAAACAATTACATAATCTGTAATTCAACCTTTTTATACTATATTCTTGTATCAACATTAATTCGTTTATGGATAGACGCTTGTATTATAAGAAATAATGCGAAAATAAACGTCCGTTGACTTATTTCCATTTCTACTCACCATCACAAATTTCATCACCAGCTAGCATTTATTTACTTATAGAAACGCCTATAACCTTTTCTTCATCTTCACATATTCCACCAGATATTGACATTGTTACTCTGATGACTCATATTCCAGTGTCTGTTATTTACATCTTCACATTCACCATCACAATTAATAATTGATGATTTTTCACTATCATCACAATCAACTTTTCCTGTTAGAATTCCATACTGAAAAATATAAGATAATGCATCTAATGAAAGTACTTAACAACTATATTTAAATGTTAAAATTCTTGTACAATGTTAAATGGTTTGCTTATAACTTTGAGAATAGGTATGAAAATTTACAAATGTCATCATAGTGGAATATTCATATGCAGAAAAAAACAGCCGATTCCACACGAGAATTTTGGATTTTGATAAATTGAGTGTAAGGTTTACAATGTAAAAAGTCTTGAATAACCTGACGGTTGGGTCATCAAAGGTTACCCATTTGGAATAAGTGATCTTTTAATCAAATTTAATATTTTTTAAGAAAGAAAATTTTTTAACTAACAATAACTAATTAACTATTTTAAGTGCTAAACAATTAAAAAAAAGTCATTCGCTTAAAAGGGAAGTAGTAGATATCAAAAGGAAGTTCATTACTTGTTTCTTGAAATGATAGTTTTGACATTATAGATATGTTTTACATATTATATAAACAATAATTCATAACTTGATCATCTTATGGGTAATCTAGTTGTACCAGATCCTTCAACTAATAAAACATTTTCACTTAAAAAAATAAATCTGTGATATATTCTATTTAATTCAAAGTTGCTGCTCTTGAAAAAACTTGTTACGTCTCATTTATATTCCATATAAACATACGTGAAGAATTAATCATAAATAAAACAAAAATTTCAAAGTAAATGTTTCAAGGTTATACTTTTTATTACTCAAGAATTAAAAAGTTTTTTATAATTTTTTGTAAAATAATATGATTTTATTATATATTATAATATATATCAATTTACATAAATACATTTAATGATCATTCATTCAAAAAAAAAATCACTTTTTACCACCATATGAACTCTTCTTAATGGATTCCCAGAATAGTGTAATTTAGTGAACCAAATTTAAGAAATATTTGGATTAAGTCTCAGAAATTTATAAAAGTCATTTACTGCAATATGATATTTACAAAAATATGGTCACAGAAGACATTAAAATTATTTCTCATCATTATATAATTACCAAAAGCGATTTTTAAGTGAGCTATATCTAATAAGCTGTAATATAGAAAGAAAAGAAAAGAAATGTCAATGAGATAAACATATAATAAACAGAAAAAAAAAATCAAACAACATCAAAACAAAAGCATCATCAAATTAAGACGACACAGCATCATCAAGCAATTAAGTGATAACGCAAGCATCAAGCCATAAACAGTACCAACACAATTATGGTTTATTATTAAGAAAGATGTGAAAAAAGGGCAAGCTTGTCGCAATTAGTTACATACACATCTACACATGACAGGGCTATCTTCATTAGACCTAAACACAAGTGCTTAGACATAACTACTTAGTTCTTTCCCACAGTCAGAGACCATCTGAAATACAGTGTGAGACAAAAAAAACCAGAATTTTTTTGAGAAATAAAAAGATGCAGATCTCAGCCAAATTAAGTCTGATCTGAACTATGTAAAAAGGAAAATAATCATAAGGTTATATAATTTTTTTTTGTATTATTAAATATTAAATTATTTTTTCATTTCCTCCCCTCAATATCTTTAATTTTTTAAAAAAACACTAAAAATCAATTAATTAGAAATGATGACCTTCAGACAAGAAACTAACCATCAAGTGATCTTACAATCATGGAATTGGGGTATTTAAAAGGTTAGGAAAATCTATCAATGCACTGGAATTTCTCTCACAATTGTATATGACAACCTTATCAAGCTTTATGAGTCTGAAGTGGTTGTTCAAGAAAGTTTACGGCTAATGCATCAAGAGTATTATTCCAATTCGTCTGCTGGGATTCTTCTATTTCAAAAAGGATCCTGTAAAAGAGGTTGTCATTGAAAGGTGTGGATGTGTCCTATAGGACAGTAGGAAGACATTTAGCCAAAATTGGATATTAAAAAGACCTTCAAAAAGCAACGCTGATGCTGACCGCAGACCATAAATGTAAACGGGTAGAATAAGCCCAAAATCATCTTAATGATGATTAGGACAAAACTCTATTTTCAGAAGAGACTGCCTTCCAACTGTTCCAGAATACTGTAGAGAGCTGACATAAAAGACAACAACTGATACGCCTTATGCCTAAAGATCGAACGAAAATTTTTGCATGAAAAGGATTTTGTGTAAAATAACAAACAAGTTTATATTATTTTTCTCAAATAATGAATGCTGAATTTTATGTAAACATATTCCGTAACCATCTTCCAGAGATTGAAGACTTATTGGGAGATGAATTGAATTTCAGCAAGACAATAATCCAAAACACACCAGCAAGCATACCAAAAAATTTCTTTGGGAAAATTTTCCTGAAGTTATTGACTGGCCTTCTAACAGTCTGGAACTAAATCCAATAGAAAACCTTTGAAGTATTGTTAAAGGAATATGAAGAAGAAAATGCCAAAGAATACTGATGATTAGCGCTGTTATATGATCAAAGAATGGGACGATATTCCAGAATCGACCCTAATTGGATTAGTAGGATCAATGAAACGCCGATGTGAACTTATTATAGAAAATAATGGTGAACGATTCCGTTCTAAAAAAATATTAATAAAATTAGCTAGTATTTAGCTTCAAATATATAATAAATTTTATGTAGTTGGTGTCATTAGTTTTTGCATAATATGTATTTAAAATCTCCAGTTTTTATTGTTTCACACTGTAAAAAGTAATATGTTTTCGCATGACTGTGTGGACGTTTTTGAGTTGCTGAATCATAAGTAGTTACTGTTCTGAAAATCGAAAGTTTCTGCTCCTGAAGATGTTGTCCAAGCCGCCGGTGATATTTTTCCAACGATATCATCTAATAATACTTTACCTGAACTGATGGCCACCGGATAGTCCGACTCACCCTTACCAGCAGACGGAAACCCTCCCTAATTGCGACATGCGATTTTTTATTATCAAAAAAGTGAAAAGGTGTTATATATGCTGACGAAAAAAGTGTACGGAAGTTAGACCAGAGAAAGGAAAAAGTGAAAGGTATGCTAACGAGAGAAGACAGTAAGCCTGTGAGAGAAAAAAAATAGGCAAAAGATGCACTTCATTTAATTTTGGTGCGAAGTCTCGTGATTAGAATATTAATGATCATCATTACGTAATAATATTATCGACTTGAGATTATGGAAGAAATTTAATCGATCAAAATGTTGATCAATTTTATCAATTTTTCCATATTGGTTAATAATGAGTATTACTACCAAAAGACGGATGGATGAGTTATAGATATTTGAGACAAAGATTTTCGAAGTGGTTAATGTAGTTAATGTTATGAAGGATGAATATTATCATAAGTTTTGGGATTATAATGACCACATTCTTAAATTTTTAAATAGTGGATTTTGAATAGGAACCTACTTCATCCTCTTGAGTCGTGAAACGGTTTGCTTGATGAAAGTCTTTCATATCATCAAAAGCTAATACCAAAAGAAATGGATGTTTTGATGATCATCAAATCAAAGTAACAAACTTCAAATAAATTGAATATAGGTTGGGTCTATTTAAGGTTGCTGGGCAAAATACGGAGGTTTCGATAGGCATCGAAATTGAAACCCGTCGAAACGTTTTGCCAAATATTTTTATTAAAGGCAAAATTGCGAAAGTTTCGATGGGTGGCAAAAGTTTCGACAGATGGCAAAATCCCATTGAAACTTCTGATACTAAAATACAAATTTTTGAATTTAAAATTTATTATTTTCGTATAATAAGATGAGCAAATCGTATAAAGCAAAGATCACTTTCTTTTATAAATATTTATAGATAAAAAAAAAAATCAAAAAAATTAACATATTGATCATCAAGTCCAGTTATATCATTTATTTCCCATATTTTCTTCATTTATACTCAAGGCAATATTCTTATTTTCTTCTGCCTCATCCATTAAACTTTCATTTGTAAATTATCTAAAGGTTGTAACCGGATTCGACTTTCTGATTTAAACCCAGATATCCGCAGGGTTTATAATTTATTAAGCTTTAAAAACTTTTGATCTGCACAGTTTTAAAATAAAGATTCGATATTCGGATTTAAATCCGGATCTGATTTTTTAAAGTTAAAATAAATCCGGATATAATAATAAACCCGGTTCTAACCTCTATCATCATCTTCTTCATAAGGTAATTTTTTTTAATTCTTCAACAAGTTTCAGTGCTTCCAATTTTAAACCTGCTCGATAAATAGTATATTATTTTGGAAACTTTGTTCTAAGCAAAAAAATCAAAAATCGTTTTTATATTCTACATTGTATGTATTACTATAAACCTGTTAAACTGTCAAATTTGCAAAGTTGTTATTGTGAGATAATCTTCGAGTGTCTGAAATTGAGATTCCAATTTCAAACACTCTTTTTGTTATCTGAATTCCAACTTCAGACAACTATAAAAAATGCCAATTGTTTTTTACAATTTCGTAATTTAACATTTTATATTTCAGACTTTTAGCTAAAATATAATTTAATTTCATGGAATTATTTATTAGCATTAAAAAACAATATTTTTTTTTTTTTTAAGGATTATTTATCTTTTCTTTTATTTTATCATTTTATTTCTTTTATTTTTTTTTTTATTTAGAATTTTTGACTTTTATTTACTTTTTTTTATTTTTTTTTTCTTTCTATTTTTTTTAATTCCGATTTTATTTTTCTTCAATTTTTCAGCAAATAAGTAAGTTCATTTTTTTATTTTTTATTTTTATTTTTAATATTATTTCTATTTATTTACTTGCAGATGTTTGATCACTTCAGGTGCTGTGTCAGTTTCATTTTCATCTATTTTTTTTAACTTCAGACTGAAGTGATCTAACCTGAAAAGCTAAAATAAACATGTTAAAAACATTCACTTTTTTTTTTAATTCTTTTAAAACAGCAGAAAGCAAATAGAAAAGAAATTTCTACCCTTACGATTACCTGTATAATTATTCTATTTGAAACTGAGTGACAAATTTTAAAATAATATAACTCTAGCGTATCTTTATATTAATTACTAACAAATGCACTTTTTAATTTACGATCTTTAGTTTAGCGTTTTCAACATTGCAGAAAGTTTAAGTGTACTTTATCGTATTTATGAACTACCAAACGACCAACAATTTTTTGAAATCTATGATCGAACACAAATAAGCAGATGGAAATCGATGTGATGTGGGTGGATTTTTTTTTTATAATATCATGTTATATTAATTGATTTAGATATGAGCATCATGGAAGAAATATAATAATGTAAATATTTGCTTCATGTGGGAGAATTATCTTCGTTGGAATTTTAATGCAATACTGAACAGAAATGAGCAATGTGATGATCCATTATTAGGGATGGGGAAGGTTCAAAAAGAGCGATTCCGAGTCAGTTCTGGAACCGATAATAAATTCAGCATATTCTGGGTTTTCCTGAGTTACAAACCATTTTAACCATTTTAAAAATCGAACCAAAACCGACTCTGGACCGGTTCCAAGAGTCGGCTTAAAATCGGATTGTCATCAAATTAAAGATGATAATTGGACGAATTTGTTTGAATAACCAGTCAAAATATTTTTTAAATTGAGCATCTATTAGTATAAATTTAACTTTACGCTCAAAGTTAATTACTTTAAAAGAGTTGATAAAACCGTCCACATCCCTAATTCCTTGATTCGTAAATTGATATGTAATTTTTTTTTTAAAAAATAATCCCTAGGATAATTTTAGATAACAGTGTTTTTTTCAATTATGGCAGCATAAATATGTGAAAAAGATTTAAATAATATAGAGCGTGCATGATTTTGCTTAATAATTATCTCTTCTGAATATTTAAAAAGTGTTTATTTACTTTGGGATTTGATAGTTGACGAAGAATTATTTTTTTTTGTGAAATAATCTTTTTTCATATACTTAATTTTGTAGAATAAACTTTACATTCCGTTTTCCTGCTTCAAATATACGCAATATTTAACGTTAAAAAAAATATCTCACAATTTTTATAAAGTCGTTAACGCAGTATAATTCTAAAGTAGTTTTATATCGAGAAACTTATATGTATGCATAATAGAACGATATAAGAGGCGCAGAAAATGTAATTGATTTTCGTAATTTCAGACGATCTTCAGTTACAACAACAGGAGTCACTTATAAGATCATCTAATTACACGAAAACTTTAAAAGTAGTTACGCTGTACAATTAAGTTGAATGTTACAAGTTTCCAAATTAATATATAAATTTTTTTTTCTTTGTTTCTTTTTTCAATTTTAATTTCTGTAAAATAAAAAAAAAATGTCCATTGAATGTTTGCAGAGAGTTGCTAATGATTATGAAAGGTTATTTGAAAATGACAAAAGTTATGATGTCATTATTTATGCCGGTGAAAATGAAAACGTTAAAGAACTATGTGCGCATTCAATTATTTTACGTTATAGGTCGAAATATTTTTATGATGAATTAACTAAAGAAAATGTTGAGAAGAAGGAAGGAAAATTTACTTTAAAAATACCCAACATACCTCCAAATCTTTTTAAACTTATCTTAAGGTAAATAAAGTACGTGCGACAAACTACGACAATAATATAGACCAAGTTATTAACATTTCTTTTAATTTCAGATTTATATATTGCGGAAGGATTGACATATCGAAATTAGAAGGAACTGAAATATTAAAGCTCTTAAATGCGGCAGGTGCACTTAAACTCCAAGATTTAATTCCCGAAATTGAAGATTATTTAATTAAAGACCATCAAGAGTGTTTACAAGCCAATCCTATAGGAATTCTTGAAACTATTTATCAACAAGAGTCTTTCACGAATTTACGGAACTTTTATCTTGAAAAAATTTGTAAAGACCCCGAAGAGCTTTTTAATTCTGATAAATTTATCAGTATAAAAGCACCTTTATTAGAATTCCTTTTAAAGCGGGATGATTTAAGTCTGGATGAAGTTGATATTTGGAATAGTTTAATTAAGTGGGGTTTTGCTCAGAACCCTTCTATTCCTAAAGACGTCAAAGAATGGAGAAATGAAGAAATTATAATTATGGAAAGATCTCTTCATAAATATATACCTTTAGTTAGATTTTATCATATGTCTTCAGATGATTTTCTTGAAAAAGTACTTCCTTTTAGAGAATTGTTACCACAGGATTTGGTTGTTAACCTCTTAGCATATTCTTTGGCACCAGATAAGAAATTAAATATTAATATACAACCACCTAGAAAGTCAAAATGTGATTTAATTTGTGATTCAATCCTAGTTAATGCTCGCCATTTTGCCATATTTTCGGGTTGGATTGATAAGAGAGAATATAATATCAAGAATGTGCCTTATAGTTTTAATTTACTTTATCGTGCCAGCAGGGATGGTAATACACCTAAAGCATTTCATCAAAAATGTGATAACAAAGGGGCCAATATAGTCGTAATAAAAATTAACGGAACGGATCAAATCGTGGGAGGATATAATCCATTTGGGTGGGAAGGATATAATCAATGGAAAACTACCAAAGATAGTTTTCTGTTCTCATTCGTAAATATAACAAACCTTCAAACTGCAAAAGTAGGTTATATTAAGGATGATCATGCTCAATTTGCTGTTCATTGTAATCCAAATTATGGACCAGTATTTGGTTATGATTCTAAAATTGGTGCTGACTTTTATTTTTATGATAATTGGAGTGCTAAGAACCTAAATTGTTATTCTCAAATTGATATTCCAGTCGGTATTTTACAAACAGATGATTATGAAGTATTTCAAGTCAATAAAAGATAAGCTCATGTATTGTATATATATTTGTAATATCATTTATTTCAAAAAAAAAATATTACCCTGATAAGTTACGTGTAAATAAAGTATTTATGAATGCTTTACATTAAAATATAAGTTTATCAATTGGATTATCTTAATTGTGGCGAATTAGCCTGTTTATATTTTTAATCAAGTTATGGTAACGAAATCTTACCAATTAACAATTGATGATTTTACATCAGGCAAAATATGATTTTAATACGGCACAAAATTATGTCTTTCTCTGTTAAATCGTAAGTCAACTTCGAAATCTATCTTTTTCGTGAAAATGATTACAATGGGTTATAAAATTTCGGAACATTATGTTACATCGAATCAGTCAACAATAAATTCTAAATCAATTTTACTTTTTTATACCAATAATGATTTTTAGGTCAAAATATGTTCAAATTTATCATTATCTAATTATAAAAGAACAAAAATGACCATTTTTATAATATCTCTGTCAAATATATCGTAGGTTCTAAAGTTAATTAATAATTTTTCCACCTTCATTAACAATCAATACACCTTATACATGTTTCTCTACGTTTAATGTTTTCTTCGATCTGATTTGAAATTAACTAAAGTTACGGATCAAAAACATCAGGAAAAAATAATATGTACCATTTATAATTTCTTTTAAAAAAAAAAATTGTATAA